CCCCTCTTCCATCACCACCTGGGGGGCCAGCGGGACCCTCAGAGGGACTGTGGACCCCCCAGAGCCCCCCCAGACCCCTCTCCTCCATCACCACCTGGGAGGGAGCAATGAGCACCACAGACCCCCAAACTCCCCCCTCCCGGGGGTCCTTGCAGATGGCCTCATACCCCTCCCTCCCATCACCACCTGGGGGTGGGACAGCACCACAAACCCCAAAAACACCTCCTCCACCATCACCATGGATCCCCAGAAGCCCCCCAGACCTCCCCTCCTCCATCACCACTTGGGGGGCAATCAGGACCCTCCCATGGACTGGGGACCCCTCAGACCCCCGGTCCTCCATCACAAGCTGGGGGGCCATGAGCACCCCTAGAATGCCCACGGACCCCCAGAAACCTCCTGGACCCCCCCCCTGAGAAAATACTCCCGGGGAGGGGGCAATGAACACCCCTGGACTGCCCATGGACCTCCTGGAGCCCCCCAAGAAGGAACCTCCAGAAAGGGCAGCTGAACCCCCCCAAACAGGAACATATCCCCCACGAAGAAAACTAGAGATCCCCAAGAGAACAACGAGCCCCTAAATAGGAAAATACCCCCTGGGGTCAATTAACCCCCCCCAAGGGAACAATTACCCCCCCTAAATGGGAAAATATCTCTCATGGGGACATTAACAACCCCCCAAGGGAGCAATTACCCCCCTTAATGAGAAAATACCTCTCACAAGAGCATTACCCCCTTAAATGTGAACACAACCCATCCATAGGGGCATTAATCTCTCCCCAAAAGAACAATTAATCCTCTAAATAAGAAAATATCTACAGAGAAGCAATTAATCATCTTGAATGGTAACTTATCCACCATGGGGACAGTTACCCCCCAGTACACAACAACCCCCTCCAGGGGACAGTTACCCCCCTAAATGGGAACAAACACCCCCAAACAGGAGGCAATTACCCCCCTAAATTAATAAAATTCCCCATAAAGGGATAACAATCCCCCCCCAGTGTGGGGGGGAACCTACCCTGACCCTACACCTGAGGGGGACACTGAGCCCCCATAACCCCTCAGGGTGAGGGTCCCTGGCTGTGGGGATCCCCTGCCCCCATAATCCCTCAGGGTGGGGGGTCCTTTGCTGTGGGGACCCCCTCTGGCCCCCATAACCCCTCAGGGTGAGGGTTCCTGGCTGTGGGGATCCCCCAGGCCCCCATAACCCCTCAGGGTGAGGGTCCCTGGCTGTGGGATCCCCCAGCCCCCATAACCCCTCAGGGTGAGGGTCCCTGGCTGTGGGGATCCCCCAGACCCCCATAACCCCTCAGGGAGGGCGTTCCTGGCTGTGGGATCCCCAGCCCCCACCTTGCTGAGGCTGTAGAGGTCCAGGATGCGCCGCTCCACGTTGGGGATCTTGAGGGAGGAGCCCTGGATCTCCCAGAACTTGGCGATCTGGTCCAGGTAGTTCAGCTTCACCCGGGTCTGCGCCTGAGGGGGACAGAGGGGGAGTTAAAGGGAGGGGTTCCACCCCTGTGCCTCCCAAAATCAGTCCCTGAATCCTCCCCCCACTCACCTCCAGCTCGTTGAGCCGCTGGATGCGGGGGGTGAACCTGAAGTTGTCGACCTCGACGGCAAAGGGGGGCTGCCAGTCCTGGGGGGAGGGGTGTCAGGGAGGGGCCCCCCCAGACCTGCATGGGCAGGGCAGGGGGGCACAGCCCAGATTTGGGGGGGCAGGGATGGCCTCCCAGTCTTGCACAGGCAGAACAGTTGGGGGGGGGGTCTGTAGGGGGAAGGGAGGGGTTACAGCACAAAATTTGGGGGCAGGGGGGCTCAGCACCAATGGCCCCCTCCAGTCCCACACAGAGCAGCCCCGGGTCTCCACATGGGAAGAGAGGGCAACACCTCCAAAATTTGGAGGGGGGTCAAAAGTGATGTCCCCCCAGGCCCCCAGAGGCAGGGCAGGGGAGACACAGCCCAAATTTGGGGGGATCACAGACATAGCCCTCAATCCCCCCAGTCCCACATAGGCAGGGTAGGGGAGACAGCCCAAATTTGGGGTGTCACAGACATACCCCCCAGTCTGACACAAGAATAACAGCCCTGGGGGCTCCATGCAGAAAAGGGGGCAATAAACCCCAAATTTCGGGGTGGAGGAGAGGTCAGCAACAATGCCCCCCCCCCCAGTCCCACACAGAGTTGAAAGAGAACAAGAGAAACCCCAAATTTGAGGTTGGGGGCTCCACCATCAATGCCCCCCCCACTCTGACACACACAAAACAACCCTGAGAGCTCCACAAGGAAAAGAGGGACCTACACCCCCAAATGTCGGGGGGTGTCCTTGCTGTGTGTCCCTCCCCCTCTCCGAGCAGAAGCGCCCCCACCCCTCGCACCCCTCTATTTTGGGGGGGATCCCCCGGGGGGGCCCCGCGGGGCCGGTGACGCCAGCACGGGCCGGGCCCTCCCCGGAAGCCCTTCCCTGCCGAAAGGGGGGGCCCGGCCCGGCCTGGCCCCTCCACCCCAACCAGGGGGCCCAGAGAGCCCCCCGAGGGGACAACGTGACCCCTCCCCCACCGCGGGGACAACGCGCGACCCCCCCCGGCCCCCCCAAAACCGGGAAACAACCCCGGGAATGCGAGGTGGGGAGCGAGGCCGGGGGGGATGGGGGGGCTCGGCTGCCCCCGGACCCCCGGGCCTCCCCCGAGACCTCCCCAGCCCGGGGGCTCTGCCCAGGCCGGGCCCCCGGAGCGGCGGGACCCCCCGCGGCCGCAGACAAAGGCTCGGCGCTGGCGCCATATTGGCCGTGTCACTGTTGTTGTTGTGAGGCCGCGGGGGACACTGAGACCCCCCCGACCCCCGGGAGGCGTCGAGAGCCCCCGGCACCCGCGGGGACGGCCCCGATACCCCGGGATCGAACACCGCCCCCGGCTCGAGGGGCCCTGGGGAAATCGGGGGTTTGTCCACCCCCCCACGAGGTTTGGGCTGTGCGGGACCCCGAAATCCACCCCCGGGTTACCCCACACCGGAGGGGTCACATGCCCCCCAGCTTAAGGATTAACCCCCAGGGGGCGCATTTACACTCCTCCCAGCAAGAACAGACCCCATATAATTCAGGTTATTTACCTCCCCAACGAGGCCCCCTGGCCATAATTGACTCCCAGGGTATTTACCCCCTTGGGTTATTTGCCCCAGGATGCAGCCGAGAATTTGGGGGAATTACTTCCCGAAGGGGGGGGTCATTAATCCCCATAAATGAGAACTATCCCCGGGGGGCAAGTAATCTCTTTAAATATGAAATCACCCCCAAGGGGGCAAATACCCCCCCCAAGAGAACAGACTCCCCGTGGGAGCGACTACCCCCCCCCTTGGGTGCAGTTACCTCCCCCTAAATAGGCAGCGTTATCCCGCGGGGGGGCAATTACCCCCTAAATGGGAAGATACCCCCAAGAGGGGGCAATTCCCCCCTCGGGGGAGCACCCACGCCAGCCCCACACCCCGAGGGTGACACCGGACCCCCAGGGATGGGGGGGGCACCCCCAGCCCCCCATAACCCCTCAGAGTGGGGGTCCCCGTCTGGGGGGGGCACCCCCAATCCCCAAAGCACTTTAGGGTGGGGGTCTCCGGCTGTGAGAAGCCCCCCCAGCACCCCTTAACACCTCGGGGCAGGACCCCCAGGCGGGGAGATGAAGGGACGGGACACCTCCAGTCCCTCCGAGACCCCCATAACCCCTCCAGAGGGTGGTCCCGGCTGTGGGGACCCCCCCTGCAGTCCCCCCTCTCCCCCCGGGACGGGGGTCCCCGGCCGCAGGGGGGTCCCCACCCCCCGTACTCACGGCAGGGGGTCGGATCTTGCAGATGCCGCTTTTCTCGGCGATCGGGCGGATCTTGGCGATGTAGCCCAGGGGGTCGCTGAACTCGGCCCAGCTGGGCTCGAACACGGGGCACTCCGGGGGGGGCAGAAAGTCCTCGGGGGGCTCGGGCTCCGCCGGCGGCCACGGCGTCCCCCAGTCCCCCGGGGGGGCTCCTCCACGGGGACCCCCGAGCGGCCGCCGGGCCTTGTCCTCGGGGGGCCCGGCCCGGTCCCCGCCGCGGGCCCCGCGCTCCTCGGGGGCTTTGCGGGGGCTCTGCTCCTCGCCCGGGGGCGCCCCGAGCCCCTCCCGGACCCCCCCGCGCCTTTACACCGGGGCTCGCCCCCGGCGCGGGGGGGGCGTGGGGCGCCCGCGGCCTTCTCGTCCCCCTTGGCCGCCCTGGGGGTCCCCGCGTCTCCGGGGGGGGTCTCCGGCGCCCCCCAGTCGGCACCGCGGCGGGGCTTGGGCTCTTCATCCCCGTCGGGCGGCGGGGGGGGCACCCAGGGCGGGGACCCCTCCGGGCCGGGCCCCCACTCGGCCCAGGCGCCCCCCGCGCGCTGCTGCTCCGCCTCCTCCATCCCGCGCTCCGAGGGGCGCGGGGGTTCCCGGGACTGCCCGCGGGGACCCCCTCAGGGGGCCATGGAGGCCCCGCCGCCCCCGCGCCGCCCCCTCACAGGCCGCGGGCCGGCCCTCTCCCCGCTCCCGAGCCGCGGCGGGGGAAAGGGGGACGCCGCCGCGCTCCGCCGGCCCCGCCGAGCCCTCCCGCGGCCCTCGCCGGCCCCGCCGCGCCGCGCTCCGCCCGCCTCACGCCCGAGGCCTGCCCGGTCCCCCCGGCCGGGCCGCCGCCGCCATCTTGGATCCTCCTCCTCCCGCCGCCCGCCCCCCGCCCGCGCGCACGCGCGCACTGCGCAGGCGCGGCCGCGCGCGCCGTCCCGGGCGGGTGCTGCGATCGCCGGTGTCCTTCCGCCGCGGGGCTCGGGGAGGGCGCGCCGGGAGCCGCCGATCGGCGACGGGCGGCGGAGAGGGCGGGAATAGGGCGCGGGGCACCGCGATGGAACCCCCCCGGTGCTGCGCGGGAGGCGGCAGGCGGAGCGGAGGGCAAATAGTGCGCAGGCCCCGCCCCCACGGCGGCGGAGGGATCCGCGGCGCCGCCGCCTCCGCGCTGGGTCAGCGCAGCGCCGGCACTCGCTGGGCACGTTTAAAGGGCCGCACGGCGCATGCGCGTCCGGCGGCCGCGGGCTGGGGGCGGGACCAGAGGGAGGGGCTCAATGAGAGCTCCGCCCCCTGAGGCCACGCCCCCCGCGGCGGCTTCGCATCGAGACCCCCCCATTGGACCCACATAGATCTTTATGGACCCTCCTAGACCCCTATGGGCCACCGTGGATCCTCGGGACCCCCACAGATCCTATGGACCTCTATGGACCCCCATAGACCCCCCAGACCCCCATGGATCCCCCCGATGGACGCCTATGGGCCCCTATGGCCCCCTGGGACCCCTATAGACTCTGTGTACCCCTGTGGGGGGTACATGGGTCCCCACAGACCTCTGTATACCCCTCTGGGCCCCATGGACTCTCAGGACCCCCATGGATCCCTACGGACCCCTGTGGGCCACTATGGATCCTCGGGACCCCATATAAGACCCCCATAGACCCCTATGTGCCCTTGGGACTCCTATAGACCTCTATGGATCCCAGAACCCCTACAGACCCCTATGGACCCCCATGGCCCCCCAAAGACCCTGGGACCCCTACAGACCCCTATAGATTCTCTGGACCCCCAGGACCCCTATAGCCCCCAGAGACCCCTATAGCCCCTCTAGGCCCGCAGCCTCTGTGAACCTATGGGATCCCCACAGCTCCCCATGGACCCCCAGCACCCCCACAGTCCCCAGACCCTCTATCTCCGCACCCACCTCCACCATTAAACCCTCCTGTCCCATCCCCCATCCCCTCCCATTGCTCCCCTGTCCCCCCCCAGCCCCACAGGTGCCCCCCTGCGGGCTCACTCTGGGGCCGGCCGATCCGCTTATGAAGCATCAAATATACATCTCTTATGTACAAGGGCCCGAGCGGGCGCATGCGGGTGCCTGGGGCTCCTCGGGGGCCTGGCCACCTGGGACTCCCCAAAACCCCGGGCCCCAGGCGGCCGGGGGGGTCGGGGGGTCGGAGGGGGTTCGGTTAAGTGCCATGTGACAAATCAGCCTGAGCTGGGAAGGGGAGGGAGGAGGGGGGCAGCCTGCCCCGGACCCCTGGGATGGCGGGGGTCCTGGGTATCCAGGGACTCCCCCCCGGGGGCGCGAGCAGCCAAACACGAGCCACGTGCAGGGTTTTTCGGGGAGGGGGGCGTGGGGTTACAAAAATAACCAGCGGGTCCCAGAGGTCGAGCCGCGAGCTGGGCGGGGCCGGGGGGCTCAGACCACGGTGCTGATGCGGTTCCCCCTGGCTTTGGGGGCCCTGGCCGGCCTGGGCCAGGGGCGAGGTGGGGCCGGCGGGGAGTGGGGGCTCAGGGGGTGTGGGGGACGGGGGGGCAGGGGCGGGTAGGAGGGGTGGGGGATGGGGGAGTGGGGGCCGTGTGGTGGTGGTGATGGTGGATGGTGGTGGTGGTGGGAGGGGGGCTGCCCCCGCCGCCCTCTCTGCAGGGCTTGGCCGGGCTCCTCTCTGACCTGCACTGCCCCCCGAACACGAAGTGCTTGGTGGGCGGGGGCGGCGGGGTGGTGGTGCGGGGGGCCATGGGGGTACCTGTGGACAGCCTGCGGGCGGGGGCGGGGCTGCAGAGGGGAGGGGGACAGCGGCTGGCGGGGGCGCTGGGGAGCCCCCTTTGCCGGGCCGGTGGAGGGTGTAATGGGGGTGTGGGGAACTCTGCCGGGGGCCGTGCTGCTGGGGGCCGACAGGGCGGGCCCCCGTGGAAGCGCGGGGGCCCCGGCGGCGATGGCGGGGAGCGGCGGGGGCGCGGGGCGGCTGGGGGCGGCTGCTGCGGGTACGGGGAGGGGGCGGCGGGCCCGGCCCCCGGCCCCCCGGCTCCCCGGGCCCATGGCAGTACTGGGCGTGCAGGGCCTGCAGCTTGAGGGGCCCTCGGGGGCCGCGGGGGTGGTGATGGTGGGACGACGACGCCGACGACGACGAGGCCGAGGCTGACGTGGGACCCCCCGCGCCGGGGGGGGGGCCGGGGGGGCCTTTGCCCCGGCGGCTCCCGAACAGCGACCCCAGGAAGGACGAGGAGTTGGAGACGGGCCGGGGGGAGGCTTTGTACCCCTCGGGGGGCGCCCCCGTGCCCCCCGGAGCCCCCCGCGCCTGCGGGCGGGGGCTGCTGATGATGGAGCCCTAAGGGACGGGAGGGGGCGGGGTCAGCGCGGGGAGGACACGCCCCTGAGTCCGGCTGACCACGCCCCCTCGGGCATGGGCTCCTCCCATTGGTGGATAAAGCCAGGGCTCCTCAAACAAGTCCCGCCCCTCGCTGGACAGGCCACGCCCCCTAAGACAAGACCCACCCTCTTTATTGGAAAGCCCCGCCCCCAGCTCTCCCCTCCCTCCCATTGGTGGAGAGTCCCATGGCTGGAAAACAAGCCCCGCCCCTTTACTATGATGACCACACCCCCCTCGCGCAAGCCCCACCCATTCTCATTCAAGCCCCGCCCATTTGGGAACAAACCCGGCCCCATCTGTCCCAGCCCCGCCCCTTCATCATAAAGTGGATTGGGGTGGGGCTTGTGGGAGGGGCTTCCATGGGTGTGGTGTCGAGGGGTGGGGTTTGAAGGGGTGTGGCACTGAGGGGGCGTGGCCTCACCTCGATGGTGCTGTCCAGGGACCCCACGCTGTTCCGGCGGCCCCGTTTGCCTGAGGGGGGGTCAGTGAGGGGGGAACAGGGGGGGAGTCTCCCCCAGGGCCTCCCCCAGGATCCCCCAAATCTGACCCTCTGGGAACCCAAACAGCCCCTCCCCCAAGGGAGCGCTCCCAGAGGACCCCAAATGCCCCCCAGGAGACCCCAAATCCCTCCAGGGAACATCCCCCCCCAGGAGCCAACACCCCCCTGGGGCACCCCAACATCCCCCTCCCAGGGACCCCAAAACCCCCTCAGGGGACCCCAAATGCCCCCAGTGGGAACCCCCCTCCCCCCCAGGGACCCCAACCTCCCCAAGGCACTCCAACATCCCTCCAGGGGACAACCCTGGGACACCCCAACCCCCCCCAGGAGACCACCCCCGCTCGGAACCACAAACACCCTCCCAGGACATCCAACCCCCCAGGGGACCCCAAAATCACTCCCGGGGACCCCCTCAGCCCCTCCCGTGCCCCCTCTCACCGCTGTCCGAGAGGTCCCTGAGGGAGCTGCTCAGGGCGCTGCGTTTGAGCCCTCTGCCCCCCCAAAGGCCTCCTCGAGGCTGCTCCGGCTCAGCCCGTTCAGGGCTCCCGGGGGCCCCCTCGTGCCCCCGCCACCCCTTCTGCTTCTCCAACTCGGCTGGGGGGGGCAGGGGGGCCCAGTCACACCAGTGCTCCCAGTGCCCTCCCTGTCTCCCCCTTCAGTGCCTTCCCAGTCACACCAGTGCTCCCAGTGCCCTCCCTGTACCCCCCCAGTGCCCTCCCAGTCACACCAGTGCCCCCACAGTGCCCTCCCAGTCACACCAGTGCTCCCAGTGCCCTCCCTGTATCCCCCCTTCAGTGCCTCCTCCCTCTACCCCCCAGTGCCCCCTCCCAGTCACACCAGTGCCCCCACAGTGCCCTCCCAGTCACACCAGTGCTCCCAGTGCCCTCCCTGTATCCCCCCTTCAGTGCCCTCCCAGTCACACCAGTGCCCCCACAGTGCCCTCCCAGTCACACCAGTGCTCCCAGTGCCCTCCCTGTATCCCCGCCTCAGTGCCCTCCCAGTCACACCAGTGCCCCCACAGTGCCCTCCCAGTCACACCAGTGCTCCCAGTGCCACCCCAGTACCCCCAAATGCCCTCCCAGTCACACCAGTGCCCCTCAGTGTCATCCCAGTATCTCCCCAGTGCCCTCCCAGTCACACCAGTGCCCCTCAGTGATGTCCCAGTACCGCCCCACCGTCCTCCCGTTGTCCCTCTCAGTGCTCCCATTGCCCTCAGTGCCTCCCCATTGCCCCCATTCCCCCTCCCAGTGCCCCTTCCACTGCTCCCAGCACCCTCCCAGTGCCCTCCAGTGCCCCCAATCCCTCTCCCAGCGCCCTCAGTCCCCCTCCCAATGCCCCTTCCAGTGCTCCCAGTGTCCCCAGTCCCCCTCCCACTGCCCCCAATCCCCTCCCACTGCTCCCAGTGCCCCACCAGTGCCCCTCCAGTGCTCCCAGCCCCCGGCCCTGCTCACCCTCCACCCGGTACTTCTCCATCTCCTGCACTTCAGCCACGGACTCGCGGAGGTCGCTGGCGAAGCGCAGCCGGTCCTGGGGGCTCGGGGCGTTGAACACGATGAGCACCTTCCGCTCCCCCCCCGGCGCCGCCGACAGCAGCTTGATCCCAAACTGGTAATCTGGGGGCACAGGGAACCCCCCCAGTGAACCCCCAACCCACTGACAGCAGCTTGATCCCAAACTGGTAATCTGGGGGCACAGGGAACCCCCCCAGTGAACCCCCAACCCACTGACAGCAGCTTGATCCCAAACTGGTAATCTGGGGGCACAGGGAACCCCCCCAGTGAACCCCCAACCCACTGACAGCAGCTTGATCCCAAACTGGTACTTTGGGGGCACAGGGGGCAGGGAACCCCCCCAGGGGCAGGGAACCCCCCCAGTGAACCCCCAAACCAGTGACAGCAGCTTGGTCCCAAACTGGCAATCTGGGGGCACAGGGAACCCCCCCCAGTGAACCCCCAACCCACTGACAGCAGCTTGGTCCCAAACTGGCAATCTGGGGGCACAGGGAACCCCCCCCAGTGAACCCCCAACCCACTGACAGCAGCTTGGTCCCAAACTGGTAATCTGGGGGCACAGGGGGCAGGGGAGGTCAGGGAAACCCCCCCCAGGGTCAGTGACAGCAGCTTGATCTTGGGATCCCGTGGGGTGCTGTGGGGTGCCATGGGGTGCCGTGGGGTGCCATGGGGTGCTGTGGGGTGCCATGGGGTGCTGTGGGGTGCCATGGGGTGCTGTGAGGTGCCCTGGGGGCTGGAGGTCCCGGGGGTCTCACAGGCGTTCTGGAAGAGCTGCATGTGCATCTCCACGAGCGGGAAGCTCTGCCGGAAGCTGTAGGTCACCAGGATCTTCTTCTTCTGGAAGATCTTCGTCACCTGCCAAGGCCAACCAGGTCATTGGGGACCCACCCCCACCCAGCACCCCCCGGGACCCCCCAGGACCCCCCAGGACCCCCCGCTCACCACCAGCAGGTCGTTGAAGAGGAAAACCTCGCGCTGGTGCAGCCCCAGGCGCTGGGGCCGGTTGGGGTCGGGCACCTCGTAGAGTTGGCAGCAGCAAACCAGGCGCCGGTGGGGCAGGGACAGCACCTGGGGATGGGGTGGGGTCAGGGTGGGGCCTGGGGGGACACACCCATCCCCCCTCCAGCCACGCCTCTTGGTGGTGATGGTGCCCCTTGGCCCATCGTTGGGGTCACCGAGAGAAGCCCCCTGTTGGGAATGTCCCCCAAAGGTCACCTGGAACCTGTCCCATAGGTCACCTAGAACATCCTCCCCCTCACTGGGTCATCTGGAATGTCCCCCACCCACAGGATCACTTGGAATGTGCCCCATGGGATCACCTAAATCATCCTCCAAAGGTCACCTGGAACACCCCTCCCCCCCGAGAGGATCACTTGGAATGCCCCCCATGGGATCACCTGGAACATCCCACAAAGGTCCCTTGGAACCTGTCCCATGGGTCACCCAGAACATCCTCCCCCTAATCAGGTCACCTGGAGTGTCCCCCATGGGTCTTCTAAAACATCCCTCACCAGGGATCACCTGGAACGACCCCCCTTAGTCACCTGGAACGTCCCCCACAGGGTCACCTACAACGTCCCCCAAAGGCCACCTGGAACCATCCCATGGGTCACCCAGAACTTCCCCCAAAGGCCACCTGGAACCATCCCATGGGTCACCCAGACCATCCCCCTCGGCCCCCACCCCCCCAGCAGGACCCACTGGTTTCTTGCCGACGATCATGCGCTCGACGGCCTGGACCTGGGACACGTGGTCGTCGTTGGTGCGCAGCTCCCGGCTCTGGATGCGCTGGTAGATGCCCACCAGCATGTCCCGGGGGATGTCCTCGCCGTTGTCCACCCCTGTGGGACACCGGCCCCGCTCCAGAACCGCCCCCGAGCCGGGGGACACCGGGGGGACGCTGAGGGGACACGGGGGGGACAGGGACAGGGGCACGGCGGCCTCACCTCGCAGGTTCTTGATGAAGTCCTCCAGCTTCATCTTGCGCTCGGCCTTGACGCTGGGGCTGTACATGTCGGTGTTGAGGAGGATGATGGCGAAGGCCAGGATGAAGATGGTGTCGGGGTTGCGGAACTGGCGCAGCAGGGCCGCGTTACACACGCAGTAGCGCTGGCTGTGGGGTGGACAACCCCCACGGCCCATGGGGTCACGGTGCCCCACGGCGCCTGCGGGCACCCCCGAGGGTGGGGCAGCAGCCCGAGGTGACACCAGGCTATAGGGTCACCCACAATGTGGGCCACACCCTCAACGTCCCCACAGGCTACAGGGTCACCCAGAATGCAAGCCACATCCCCAACGTCCCCACAGGCTACAGGGTCACCTAGAACATGGGCCACACCCCCAAGTCCCCCCAGTCCATAGGGTCACCTAGAACATCATCTAGTCCCATAGAAGTCACCAACCCTGATGCCCCCTCTTGATCCATGAGGTCATCTAGAATGTCGCCCTATGGCACCACCCCCAATGTCCCTCCAGTCTACAGGGTCACCTAGAATGTCCCCTGGTCTCCCGTGGGGATCACCAACCCCAGTGTGTCCCCCCACCAATCCACAGGGTCACCCCATGGTGACCACACCACTGTGAGCCATGGCCCGGTGACCCTCCTGGCACCAGGACATGGGGACAGAGGACATGGGGACATGGGGACACAGGGACAGGGCCCCCCCTCACCTGAAGGCCTCGATCAGGCGCTCGACCTTCTGCGCCTCCCCCTGCACCCGGATGTGGGACTGGAATTTCCGAAGGGCCTCGTCCAGCTCCATCCCGGAGAAATCCATCTCGTCCACCACGCAGCTGCGGAGACCCCGCACCAGGGGATGGTCCCAGGGGCCCCCCAGCCCCCCAGTGTGCCCCCTCCCCCGGCGTGCCCCCCCGTACTCGAGGACGTCGCGGTTGAACTGCTTCTGGCGGTTGCCCAGGAACTCCCCGATCATCTGCCGGCTCAGCCCCTTCCGCTGCAGGATGAAGTGGGCGACGCCCACGGGGGTGTCGGACAGGAACCCCCTCTCGATCAGGTACTGGATCCCCTTCTCCGGCTTCCTGGGGCGGGCAGGGGGAGTGGGGTCACCCCATGGCCTTGGGGCGCCCCAGCAAGAGGGGGACCTGGAATGCACCCTGTGCCCGGCTCTGGGGTCACCTGGTCATCTATGGGGTCATCTGGTCACCTATGGGGCCAACTATGGGATGACCCCAATACGGGGTCACCTGAGGTGACAATTTGCTGCCCTAAAGGGTCTCTGAGAATGTCATTGTGTCTTGAGCACTTGAGAGGTCACTGTAGGGTCGTTTAGAATGTCATTGTGGTGTTCTATAGGGTCACCTGACCCATCACCCTGTCCTTGTTATAGGGCCACCCATGTCCCCTTGCCCTTCCCCAAGGCCACCTTCTCCAGGGCCACCAACGTCCCCTCGTCCTCACTGCGGGGTCACCTAAACCATCCCCCCGTCCTTGCTAAAGGGCCACCAACAGTCCCACCCCACCCCTTCCCCAGGAGCCCTGGGAGCACCTCGTGACCCCAGTGCAGGACCCCCAGCCCCCACCCCACCTCCGACCCGGCTCCCCAGCTCCCCAGCCCCCCAGCCCCCGGGTCCCTCACTTGTTGAAGAGGTTGAGGCCGATGCGGTACTGGCGCCGCTGCACCACGCCGTTGTTGAGGGCGGGCGAGTCCCAGCTCTGCCGCGGCTCCTGCTGGTACGTGGCCTTGCCGGGGCCGGCGGGGCCAGGGGGGCTGCGGGGGCCGTGGGGCGGCGGGGTGGCGGGGGCGGCGCAGGCTGTCCCGGGACGAGGAGCCCGAGGAGCAGTTGAGGGTCTCGTTGGAGTTGGAGCTGCTGCCCAGGCTTCGTTGTCCCCTCGGACCCCTCCTCGGGGCCGGGGTGAGGAGGCCCCGGGGGCGGGGGCGCGTCGGGGTGGAAGCAGCGGTGGGGGGTCCTGAGCGGGCAGGTCCCCCCACCCCCGTCGGGCTCGTAGGGGCCCCCCCGGTTGATGGAGCCGCGGTCGGAGCGGTCGCTCAGGTCGGCGGAGCTGTCGCTGGGGGTTCCACCGTCAGCAAGGGTGGCTCCCCGGCCCCCGCCCCGGCACTCCAGACAGGGGGCCGCGCCGAGGGGGCTCCTCAGGGCCCCCCAGCGCTCGGCGGGGCCGGGAGGGTTGGGGGAGGCGGCGGGGGTGGCGGGGCCGGGGAGGGGTCCCCGGTTTCGGGGGCTCGGGGCTGGGGGGCCGCTCGGGGAGTGGGGGAGCTGGGGAGCCCCTCGTCCAGGTACAGGGTGACGTCGCTGGCAGAGGTGGCCGCGCTGTCCCCCGCGGGGGGGGCCGGGGCTCCGGGGGGGACCCCGCGACCCCCAGAGCCTCGTCGATGGAGGCGGCCAAGGACTTCACCTGCAGGGACAGGACCCCCCAGATCAGACCCCAACCCCATCGGCCACCCTGCATCCCCATGGCCTCTGGGACCTCCCCAAGCCTCCCTGACCCCCAGGACCCCCTAAGGACCCCTGACCCCCTGGGACCCCTCTAATGGCCCTCTAATGGCCCTTGTGACCCTGTGACCTCTATGACCCCAATGGCCCCTGTGAGTCCCCCATGGCCAAGACCTCCATGTCCCCCCATGACCCCTGTGACCTCCTATGACCCCTGTGACCCCCATGACCCCTATGACCCCCACCCTCCTGTGACCCCCACATCCCCAACGACCTCTCCATGTCCCCCACAACCTCCCCATGTCCCCCCACATCCCTGTGCCCCCCAGCCCCCCACCTGCTGCGCAAAGGCCTCCTCCAGGTCGGCTCCTCCGGGCCCAAAATCGGCCGACGCCGAGAGCTGCCGAGGGGTCCCGCGCCCCCACCCCGGCGCCTCTCCACGGCCCCCCCTTCGCTGGGCCCCCCTCCGTCCAGGCCGGCCCGGCAGGACCCCCGTATCGGGGGCGCGGCGCGCCCCCCAGGACGCCCTCGTCCAGCGAGGCGGGTTTGCCCTGGAAGTAGGGGGCGGGGGCGGGAGGCCCGGGCGGGCGCAGGGCCCTGGCCGTACTCCTCGAAGGAGAACTGCAGGCGCAGCCCGGGCAGCGCCAGGCGCCGGGCACGGCCGCCCTCGCTGCGCAGCCGCTCGAACTTCTGCGCCATCCGGTACCGCCGGAACGCCGCCTGGATCGTCCGCGCCGCGCGCCGCGAGCGGAAATAACCCCCGTACTTGCGCTCCAGCATCTCCACCTGCACCGGCACAACGGGACACCCGTGGGGACACGGCCACGGACGGCGACGGGGACATGGGGATGGGGACATGGATGGGAATGTGGATGGGGATGTGCGTGTGGGGACAGGGGGACATGGATAGGAATGTGGATGGGGATGTGCATGTGGGGACATGGGGATGGGGACATGGATGGGAATGTGGATGGGGATGTGCATGTGGGGACAGGGGGATGGGGACATGGATGGGAATGTGGATGGGGATGTGCGTGTGGGGACATGGGGATGTGGATAGGAATGTGGATGGGGATGTGCATGTAGGGGACATAGGGATGTGGATGGGAATATGGATAAGAGATGTGCATGTGGGAACAGAGGGATAGGGGACATGGATGGAATGTATAGATGAGTGACATGTGAGGACAGGGAGATGGGGACATGGATGGGAATGTGGATAGGATATGCGTGTAGGGACATAGGGATGGGGACATGGATGAGAATGTGGATAAGGGATGTGCATGTGGGGACATGAGGATAGGGACATGGATGGAATAGATGGGGATGTGCGTGTGGGGACACGGGGACATGGATGGGGATGTGCGTGTGGGGACAGGGGCATGGGGACATGGATGGGAATATGGATGGGGATGTGCGTGTGGGGACATGGGGATGGGGACATGGATGGGATGTGCGTGTGGGGACATGGGGATGGGGACACACACGGGGACATGGATGAGGGGGACATGGAGATGAGGACATGGATGGGGACATGGAGAAGGACATGGGGATGGGGACATGGGGATGGTGACATGCACAGGGACATGGGGATATGGGGATAGGGACATGGAGAGGGGCACATGGATGGGGATATGGGCACATGGATAGGAACATGGAGGTGGGAATGGGGAGATTGGGGATATGGGGACATGAAGGGAGACACAGGGATATGGATGGGGACATGGGGACATGGAGGGGGATGTGGATAGGGACATGTAGACATAGATGAGGACATGGGGATGTGGATGAGAACAGGGGGATATGGGGACAGGGGTGGAGACATGGGGATAAGTAAATGGGGATGGGGATATGGGGACGGAGACATGGATAGAGACAGGGGGATGGGGAATGGATGGGGACGTGGATGGGGAAAAGGGGACATGGGGACATGGGGATGGAGATATGAAGGATGGGGATGGGGGGATGTGGATGAGGAGATGGAGATGGGGATGTGGACATGGGGACAGGGAGGGGACAGAGACAGGACAGGGCCAGAGAAGGACACAGGTGAGGCAATGCCCAGGAAAGAGGGTTGGATGGGGGGGCCTGGTGGCCTCACATGGGGACAGGGACCTCACACATGGGCTGGTGACCATCAAACGGGGCTGGTGACCATCACATGGTGACCATCACACATTGGATTGGTGACCATCACAGATGACTGAGGGCCATCTCGTGTGTCTGTGACCACCACACCTGGGTCGTGACCATCACACGTGGCCAATGACCATCACACCTGGGCTGTGACTGTCACACCCGGGTTGGCCAGTGACCATCACACCTGGGTTGTGACCATCACACCTGGGTTGTGACCATCACCTGTGGGTTGTGACCGCCACAGGTGGCCAAGGACCACCACACACTGCCCAGGGCCCACCCACATGGCCGGAGCCCACCCCGGGGGGGTTATCGGGGTGTCACCCCCAGGGTCCCTCCCATGGGGTGTCCCCAGGTGTGCCCAGGTACCTTCTTGTCCTGCAGGTCGGTGGAGAGCTCGTAGCTGTCGCTCAGAGCCTTCGGCCTCTTGCTCTCCTCCTCCTCCTCCTGCTTGCGCAGGGCCACGCTGGCGGGCTGGGGGGGCAGCCGGGGCCAGGCCACGCCTGGGAGCCCCAGAGCCCCCAGCCCCCGGGCCCTGGGGCGCCGGCTGGGGAGGCCACGGTACGGGGGGCCTCCGGGGCTGTCAGGCACCGGCCCCCTCGCTGCCCGGGGCTCGCCGTCCACGCTGCGGGGACAACGTGTCACCCCTCGTCGAGACCCCCAGAGACACACAGACCCCCAGAGACACACAGACCCCCCAGAGACACACAGACCCCCTTGGAGACAGACAGACTCCCCAGGGACACACAGACCCCCAAAGACACACAGACCCCCAGGGACACATAGACCCCCACCAAAACCAGACAGATCCCCCCCAAAGACACACAGAACCCCCCAGAGACCCCCCTGAGCCACGCTGAGACCCCCACAGGTCCCCCCAAGACCCCTCAAACAGCCCTGAGCCAGCTGAGTGGGGACCATGGGGACACAGGGACCATGGGGACACACGGACATGGGGACACACAGACATGGGGACACATGGACAGATGGATGTGACCAACATGGGACATGTTGGGACACATGGACATGGATTTGGGGACACAGGGACAGTGGGACACCAGGACAGTGGGACACAGGGACACACAGTGGGACACAGGGACAGTGGGACACAGGGACAGTGGGACACACGGACATGGGGACACACAGACAGTGGGACACATGGACAGGAGAGACACAGGGACATGACAGATGTGGGGACACGTGGACATGGACACATGACACGCGACATACGTGCACACATGGACACGGGGGACACATGGGGACAGAGGGACACACAGACACGGGGACAGAGGGACACACGGACAGCCAGACACGGGGACAGCCCCGTCCCCTCCCCCCAGCCCCGCGCCAGCCCGGGGGTCCCGGGCGTTGGGGGGGGAGGGCAGCAGAGCAGGGAGGGGAGGAGACCCCCAAAAACTCAGGGGGTCCCCTGAAGGTCAGGGGGTCAGGGGAGTCCCCGAGGGGGGTGGGGGTTGATGATGGGAGAGGCACCGCGCGGGGGAGGGGAGGAGAAGGGTTTGGGGAGACCCGGGGGTCCCGGGGGTCTCGGGGAGGTCCCGGGGGTCTCGGGGTCGTGGGGGTCCCGACTCACCCGTGCAGCAGCCGCTGCCGGAGCGGCCCCCGCCGCCGGTCGGCCGTGCACTGCAGGCACCACATTTTGGGGGAACACCCCAACAAGGAGGACACACGGGACACCCCCACGAGGGGGCTGGGGGTCCCCGGGTGGGGGCAGGGGAGCCCTGGCGCCTCCGCAGCTGCACCAGGGCCCGGTCGGGCGGTGCAGGAGGAGGGTGAGGGGGAGGAGCCGAGGAGCGACTCCCGCCCCCACCCGGTTTTGCGCGTGCCCGGACGCCGGAGACCCCCGTGGGCGTGGGGGGCAAGGGGGCTCATGGGGGTGGGGGGTACGGACGCCTGGATCCCTCTGGCACGGAATGGGGGTCGTGCCCCACCCCAAAACCCTGGGGGAGGCCGGAAGCCTCGTCACTAATTTGGGGAGGGTCCCCTCAGTATTTGATGGGGTGGGGGTCTGGTCCCCCGCGGGGAAATGCGCCCCTGAGACTGGGGACCCCTGCCCCAGTGGGGCTCCATGACTGGGCGGAGCCCCCTGGATTCCCGGGGTCCCCCGACGCGAGGGGTCCCCAAAGGGGGGTGGGGGTGTTTGGGGGTCCCCGGTCCCTCGGCGCATGCGTGGAGCCCCCGGGATGGCGGTTTCCATGGCGACGCGGCGGGCGGGGGCGGCGGTTGCCATGGAGACGCGGCGGGGGATGGAGGGGGAGGGGGCGCGCGGGTTCCCTGGGGAGGGGGAGATGGGGGTTTCGAGCCCCGCCCCCGGCACCGCCCACTCCCCAAAATAGCCCGAGGAGGCGCCATGATGGAGGCGTTGCCATGGCAACCGCCCCCAAACAGCCTCACCCCCAGCGGCCGGGGAGGGCCGGGCGGGGCCTATAGCGCCTATAGGGGCCCTATGGCACCCTGGGCACCCCTATACAGCCCTCAGGGCCCCTGTACAGCCCTCAGGGCCCCTATACAGCCCTCGGGGCCCCTATACAGCCCTCAGGGCCCCAGTACAGCCCTCAGGGCCCCTATACAGCCCTCAGGGCCCCTATACAGCCCTCAGGGCCATGTGGCCCCTATGGGACCCCTATAGATCCCTGGGGACCCCTATTGGACCCTGGGTACCCCCTGTGGACCCTATGCACGCCCTGGAGTACTTATGGCCCCTCTAGGGATCTATAGGGGCCCCTACAGAGCCCTGGGGTCCATGTGGGATCTATACAGGCCTCTATAAGTCCTGGGGGTCCAGACAACCCCTCTACATCCCTGGAGTCCCTATGGGATCTATAGGGGCACCTATAGGTACCGGGGGCGGGGTCCTTACAGCCCCTACAGAGCCCCGGGGTCTCTCTGGCCCCAGGGCTCTATATGGGCCCTACAGGCCCCCCGTGGCCCCCCGGGGGTCCCTGTGGCCCCTATAGGGCCCAGGGTGTCCGTAGGTGTCGGGGACAGCGCTTACCTGCGGGCAGGGGGAGGTTGGAGCAGCCAAAAGCACCTGCGGGAGGCACCTGGAGGGGGGGACAGACAGACGGACACGGGACATGGATGGGGGATGGACAGATGGACATGGGGACATGACTGGATAGGGGGACACGATGGATGAGGGGACAGACAGATGGACAGGGGACACAATGGATGAGGGGACATGATGGACAGACAGACAGGGGACATGGATGAGCAGGGACAGAGGGACGGGGGACACGATGAATGGGGGGGACATGATGGGGGATGGACAGACAGACAGGGGACATGGATGGGCAGGGACAGAGGGACAGGGGACAATGGGGGACAGATTTGGGACAGTGAACAGGGGGAACAGAATGAAGGACACAGGATGGAAGGGACAGACAGATGGACAGAAAGGGGGCACACTGGGGGAAGACACAGAGGGATGGGGGGACAGACGGACAGGGGATGGTGGAGGGGGGACAGAGGGGTGGACAGACCAGGGGTCCAACGGACAGATGGACAGGGGTCCAATGGACAGATGGACAGGGGGACAATGGACAGATGGACAGGGGGAGGACAGACAGACAAGGGGGGTATGATGGAGGGGGGGACAGAGGGACAGATGGACGACTATGGCTCACTGTGGTCGGATGGATGGACAGGGGGATGGACAGATGGACAGGGATGGACAGTGGGAGGGACAGACAGATGGACAGGGATGGACAGTGGGGGGACAGACAGATGGACACAGAGAGACATGGATGGACAGACGGACACGGTCAGGGGGGAGAGAGAGGAGAGAAACGAGTCAAGAGCCGGAGGAGGGGGACGGACACACGGACACGGGGGGACACAAGGTGGGTGACACGGGCTGGGAGGGGGGAAGGGGGGAAGGGATCCAGTGGATCCCCCGGGATTTGGGGGGAATCGACCCCACGGCGGCGGGTCCAGGCCTGACCCCCCACCCCAACCCCAATGTCTGGGACCTCCCAAACCCCACCCAGGGGGGTCACAGGACCCCCACACACCCACTTTGGGGGGTCCCAGTCCCCCCTCACATCCCAAATCCCACCCGGGGGGGTCCCAAATGTCACCCCCCACCCAACCAGGGGGGTCCCCAGGGTCCCACACTCACGGGGGAGTGTGAGGTGGGGAGGCTGAGGTGGTGAGTGGTCCTGGGGTTCCCAGGGTTTCCTGGGGGAAGGTCCCACGGGGTCCTGGGGGTTCATAGGGGGCTTCCCAGGGTTTCCTGGGGGTTTCTGGGATGGTCTCATGGTGTCCTGGGGGGTCCTGGGGGATCCCAGGGAGGTCCTGGGGGATCCTGGGGGTTCTCAGGGGGTCCCTGGGGGTCCCAGGCGTTGGGGCCCTCAGACCTGGTAAACCCATCCCAGCCCCTCCTGCCCTTTCCTGCCCCCCCATCCCCCCCCACGCGGCTCCGGAAGCCCCGGCCGGAATTCCGGCCCTGCCGGACACTGAGGGTCCCGAGGGGGGGGCAGGGGGGGAATGGGGGGCAAAGACAGGGCCTTGCACAATGATGGGGGAACTGGATTTACACGAGGGGGGTCCCAGACTCTCGGGGGGGGGGTCACAGTGTCACATCCTTGCACGAGGACAGGGGGGTCCCACCCTGTCCACAGTCCTGCCCCCCCTGGGTGTCCCCCAACCCCTGGCACGGGGGTGTCACAGCCTGGCACAGCCCCCACAGTGTCACAGGGGGTGTCCCCTGTGGGTGTCACACATGGGGGGGTCACACCCTGGCACGGTGTCACCCGCTGTCACCTGCCCTGGCACAGGGTCACACGGGGGTGTCACACACGAGGGTGACACAGGCGTCACACAGGGGTGTCACACACCCTCTGGGGGGGGTCACACACGGGGGTGACACAGGGGTCACACAGGGGTGTCACACACCCTCTGGGAGGGTCACACGTGGGGGTGACACAGGGGTCACACAGGGGTGTCACAAACCCTCTGGGGGGGGTCACACATGGGGGTGACACAGGAGTCACACAGGGGTGTCACAGGAGTCACACAGGGGTGTCACACACTCTCTGGGGGGGTCACACAGGGGTCACACAGGGGTCACACGGGGGTGTCACACACCCTCTGGGGGGGGTCACACACGAGGGTGACACAGGGGTGTCACACACCCTCTGGGGGGGGTCACACACGAGGGTGACACAGGAGTCACACAGGTGTGTCACACACCCTCTGGGGGGGTCACACACAGGGGTGACACATGGGGGTCACACAGGGGTGTCACACACCCTCTAGGGGGGGTCACGTGGCCCTTGCACGCCCCAGCACGGTCCTTACACGGTGTCACCCCCTGGTCCATGCACAGGGTCACGTGCAATGTCACACCCTGGCACGGTGTCACCCGCTGTCACCCTCCATGCCCGGTGTCACCCAGGGGTGTCACACCCTGGTACAGCCCTGGCGTGGCATCTCCGCCCTGTGCCCACTGTCACACGTGGTGTCACACCACGACTGTGTCACCCGATGCCAAACACCCTTGCACGATGTCACACGGGGGTGACACAGCCCGGCACGGTGTCACCTCCCTCACATCCCGGCACGGTGTCACCCCAGCACAGCCCAGCACGGGGTTGCACAGCCCTTGCACACCCCGGCACAGCCCTCACGCGGTGTCACATGGGGGTGTCACACTCTGTCACATTGTCACTGTCACCGCCATGCATGGGGGTGTCACACGGGGGTCACACCCTGTCACAGTGTCACTGTCACCCCCCCATGCACGGGGGTGTCACATGGGAGTGTCACATGGGGGTGTCACACCCTGTCACATTGTCATTGTCACCCCTTCATGCACAGGGGTGTCACATGGGGGTGTCACACAGGGGTGTCACATGGGGGTGTCACACCTGTCACAGTGTCACTGTCACCCCCATGCATGGGGGTGTCACACGGGGGTGTCACACCCTGTCACAGTGTCACTGTCACCCCCATGCACAGGGGTGTCACATGGGGGTGTCACATGGGGGAGTCACATGGGGGTGTCACACCCTGTCACAGTGTCACTGTCACCCCCATGCACGGGGGTGTCACACGGGGGTGTCACACCCTGTCACATGGGGTGTCACCCTGTCACGTGCCACTGTCACGCGCGTGTCACACGGGGGTGTCACATGGGGGTGTCACACGGGGGAGTCACACGTGGTGTCACCCCTGTGACGGTGCCACCCCATCACCAGCCCTCAGACGGTGTCACCCCCTAACAGCCCCATCCTAGGGTGGGTCTGGGGGCTTTTGGGGCTCCCCGGGGGGGTCGGACCTGGCACTGGGGGCGGGTCCTGTTACCATGGCAACGCCCCCCCCCCCGTGTCCCCTCCCCCGGCGCTGTCACCGCTGTCACCGCCTGCGCCGTCGCCCGGCAACGCCGCCCCGGCAGCACCGCCTGGGCCTGCCTGTCGCGACACCAGGGGGCCCCACATGACACAACAAGGCCTGTCACCACACGACAGGGCCCATCGTGACATTTCAGCCCTGTCATGAGCTTGGTGTGACATCTCAGTCCTGTCGTGACACGATGGGGTCTGTCATGACACGTTGGTCATGTCGTGACATGAGGGCGTATCCTGTGACATCTCGGCCCTGTCACGACATGGGGCCTGGGGCCTGTCATGACATGTCAGCCCCTCCTGTCACGGCATGACCCCCCCGTTGCAACATCAGCCCTGTCATGACACACATGTGACCCCTGTCACGATACACATGTGATCCCTGCCATGACACATGTGCCAGCCCTGTCGTGACATGCCAGCCCTGTCACGATATGCCAGGTCCCGCTGGGATATATCAGCCCTGTCGTGACATGGCAGCACTATTTCAACGGGTCAGGCCCTATCGTGACACCTCAGCCCCGTCACAACCAACCGGGCCCTGTCGCGATAAATCCGCTCTATCGGGACACAGCAGCACCAGCACGACAGGTGGGTCCTGTTGTGACAGGGCAGCGCCATCACATGTCAGGTATGTCATGACATGCCGGGTGTGTCGTGACATGCTGGGTAATGTCATGACGCGTTGAGTATGTTGTGATGTGTCAACCTTATCGCGACGTGTCAGTCCTGTCATGACATGCTGGGTATGTCATGACATGTCAGCCCTGTCATGACATGTTGGGTATGTCATGACATGTCAGCCCTGTCGTGACATGCTGGGTATGTCATGACATGCTGGGTATGTTGTGACATGTCAGCCCTGTCGTGACATGTCAGTTCCTGTTGTGACATGCTGGGTATGTCGTGACACGTCAGCCCTGTCGTGACATGCTGGGTATGTCATGACAGAGCTGCCTCGTCATGACAGAACTGACAGACCCTCCTGTCGTGACAGAACTGGCCCTGTCACGATGCCCTCGATGCCACAACGCCCTCCCCCACCCCGGGAAGGGGACCCAGGCGTCCGGGGAGGGAACTGGGGGAGACGTGGGGAGGGGCAGAGGAGGAGGGGGCGGGGTCAAAGGGCGTGGAGGGAGGGGCAGCACCAACCTCACTGTCCTCGAGCTGTCACGGTCCGACCTGAGGGGGGGAAAGGGGGGGTCAGGGAGCGGCGAGACCCCCTCAGATGCTCCCAAAATCCTCCCCCACCGAGGGGACCCCCCTCACCCCAAATAACCCCCTTGCCCAGGGGATGGCCCAAGACCCCCCCGGGACCCCCCAACCCCTCCATAACCTCCCTCTATGTGTCCCCCACCCCCCTCTCAACCACCCCCATCTCGCCAGGGATCCCCCCACCCAAATCCCCCCCAAAGTGTCCCCAGGTGCCCCCTCGAGGGTCCGACGTGTCTGGGCGTCCCCCACGCCCCCAAAATGTCCCCAAGTGCCCCCTCCCTGCCCCGGGCGCGGGTCCAGCCCGGCCAGACGGGGGGACCGGGGGGGGGCCGTGACGTCGTGTCCCCCCCTGCAGGTCCCACACCTGCTCCCGGATCCCAGAGCCACAAATCCCAGAGCTTGGGGGGACTGTCCCGGATCCCCAAATCCTGGATTTTGGGGGGGGAGGTGAGGGGATCCTGGATCCCCAGCTCAGATTTTGGGGGGGGGGGATCCCCAATCCCAGCGCCCCCAAATCTCAGAGTTTGGGGATGTGTCCAGATTCCCAAATCCCAGATTTTGAGGGTGGTCCCAAATCCCCAAACCCCAAATTTTAGGGAGGAGTCCCCACTGCCCAAATCCCAGATGTGGGGGGGGATGCTTCCCGACTCGACATTCCCATCTCCCAAAATCGGATGGTAGGGATGGGGGAGGGAGGAGAGGGGGAGTCCTGGCTCCCCAAATCCCGGATTTCAGGCGTGTTCCCACATTCCCAATCCCAGATTTGGGGGGGTTTCCCCAATCCCCCGTTCCCCACGCGGGTTCCCGGTCCGTACTTGCGCTGCAGGGTGGTGGCGGGGCTGGTGCTGGCGCTCGTGCTTTGCCCCCCCCCGGGGCTGGAGCTCCTGGAGGGGCCTCGGCTGAGGGGCCCCCGCGGCCACTCTCGCTCCCAGCGCTCCCGGTCCATACAGGCCCCGTAGGGCCCCTCCCGGGCCCGGAACGGCCCCTCCCGCTCCAGCCGGCCCGGATACGACCCCTCCTGGTCCATCCTGCCGGGGTAGGGCCCCTCCCGGTCCATACGGGGCGGGTACTGCCCGTCCTGCTCCAGCCGCCCCGGGTACGGCCCTTCCCGGTCCATCCTGCCGGGATAGGGCCCCTCGCGGTCCGTGTGGGGCGGGTACTGCCCGTCCTGCTCCATCCTGCCGGGGTAGGGCCCCTCGCGGTCCATACGGGGCGGGTACTGCCCGTCCTGCTCCATCCTGCCGGGGTAGGGCCCCTCGCGGTCCATCCTGCCCGGGTACTGCCCGTCCCGCTCCAGGTGGGGCTGGTACTGGAGGTCCCGCTCCAGGCAGCCGTGGAACTGCCCCTCCTGCTCCAGCCGGGCCGCGTAGGGCCCGTCGCGCTCGGCGCGGCCCAGGTAGGGCCGCTCGCGGTCCTTGCGGCCCGGGTAGGGCCGGTCGTGCTCGGGCCGGGCCGGGAAGGGCCCCTCGCGCTCCGTCAGGGGCTCGTACTGCCCGTCCCGCTCCAGGTGGGCCGCGTAGGGCCGGTCCCGCTCCGGCCGCGCCGGGAAGGTCCCGTCGTGCTCCGGGTACGCCCCGTCGTGCTCCAGGTGCTCCGGGTACGTCCCGTCCCGCTCCAGGTGGGCCGGGAAGGTCCCGTCGGGGTCGGGGTAGGGCAGGTCCCGCTCCCGCTCCGGACGGGGCGCGTAGGGAAGGTCGGGGTCCCCGTACGGCCCCTCCGGCTCCAGGTGGTTCTGGTATTGACCGTCGGGGTCCGCGTGGCCCTGAGGGGGGGGGACAACACGGGGGTGGCACCGGGGCTGGATGGGCCTGGGAATGTACGGACTGGAGCTACACGGCCCTGGGACCGCCCAGCCTGGGCTGTAGGGCTAGAGGGCTATAGGGCTACAGGGTCCCTGCCCTGGGACCACCCTGACCCAGCCCCTGACCTGGCATACGGCCCCCAGGTCTAGGCCCCTAGACCTTTGATCCCGCCCATATGGCCCTGGGACTCCCTTCCCTGGTTCCTGTGCCCCTGGACCACCCTGACCCAGCCCATGTGGCCCTGGCCCCCCCAGCTTGGTCTATATGTCCCTGAGCCCCCAACCTGGTCCATATGGCTCTGGGCCCCCATCCTGGTCCAAATCTCCCCCACCCCCTGCACCCCAATCCCAGGCTCCCCACACTGTGACCTCCCCATGACCCTCATCCCATTCCATGTCCCCCCCATAACCTCCCTCCAACCTCTCTACTCCCCATCCCAGAACTCCCTCCTATCCCCCTCCTCACCCCAATCTCAGCTCCCCCACAATGACCTCCCAATGACCCCCCCGTGACCCTCCCATGACCCCCATCCTCACTCCCAAAACCAGAGTTCTGACCCCATTACTCCCACCCACATCACCCTCCCCACTCCATGACCCCCTCGTGACCCCACATAAACCCCTTCCCACCCCCAAAAGCAGGGTCCCCACAACATGCCCCCCTTCATCCCCAGTAACCCCCTCCCCACTCCTGCACCCCCAAACAAGGCTCCCTCCCACATGACCCCGCCTCGACCCCCCATAACCTCTCTCCCCACCCCAATCCCAGGCTCCTCCTCCCCACACCCCACCCAAACCCAGGGTCCCTGACCCCATGACCCCCCCATGATCCCCTTCCCACTCTCTGCACCCCCCAAACTGGGGGTCCCAATGCCACGACCCCCTATAACCTCCTCCTCCCCTTCCCCCCAAAATCGGGGTCCCCGCTCCATGACCCCACCATGACCCCCCGATATCTCCCTCCCCAGTTCATGATCCTGCCAAAACCGGGGTCCTCACCCCATTTTTCTCCCCCACATCCCCCTCCTCACCTCCTTCCCCCAGTGCCAGCCCCCCCGGCCGTGACCCCCACGTGACCTCCCCAATAACCCCTCTCTTCACTCCCCTTCCTCCCTAAAATCGGGGTCCCCACCCCATGACCCCACCCGATGTCCCCTCCTAGTCCACGACTGACCCCATATCCCCCTCCCCACCCCCTTCTCCCCCGGTCCCAGGCTCCCCACACCGTGACCCCGCCACGAACCCTCATAGCCCCCTCCCCAGCCCTTGCACCCCCAAAACGAGGGTCACTCCTTACTCCATGACCCCCTGTAACCCCTTCCCAGCCCATGACCTCCCCATATCCCCCCTCCCCACCAAGTGGCGGGCGCTCCTCCTCCCACGCCCCCCTGCCCCCTCCGCTGCCCCGGACCTGGTGCCGGGGGCCCCTGCGCCTCCCGCGCTGCCGGAGGTGCCGGTTCTCTCGGGCCAAGCGCTGCAGTTGCCCCTCGAGCTGCGACGGATGCGGCGGCGCTGCGAGGCCAAGAGGTGTCGTTGTGTCGCGATAATCCGGTTCAGCTCCAGCAGGTACTCGACAGCCCGGTCGGGGGTCCGAACCCCTGGGGTTCTGCCGCTCCCCAGTGCCTCCATCCCCCGGGAGGGTGGGGAGAGATGGGGACTTAGGGGGCGATAAAGGGGGTAATAAGGGAGGGGGTCAGGAGGGGGTCTGGCATTGGGGGGAAAGGAGGAGAGGGAATGAGGGGTGGAAATGGGGGAATGTGGGTCTTGGGAATTGGGGGTGGGAAAACAGGGGGCGAAAAATGGGAAGGGGTGATTAAAATGGGAGGGGATGAAAATGGGGGTGGAAATGGGGGAGAAATGGAGGGGAATCGGGAGTGTTGGAATGGGGATCGGAAAATAGGGGGTGGAAACGGGAAGGGTGGTTAAAATGGGGGATGAAAATGAGGAAAAAGGGGGAATTGAGGGTGTCTTAGAATGGGGGTCGAAAAGTGTGGGGGTCCTAAAATGGGGGCAAGTGGGGCGCAGGAGCCGGGGCTCCGGCAGCCCTGAGGGTGAGTGGGGGAGTGTGGGCGGATTGGGGGCCTAAATGGGGGAGATGGTGGTGTCGGGGATGAGGGGGCCCCAGTGTGATGGAGAGGAGGAGGGTGCGCCCGGCCGGGGGTGGCGGGGGCGGGGGTGGGGGGCTCGGGGGCCCGATCCGGGCGCGGAGCTCGGAGGGAGGAGGCGAGTCGGGGTGGGGCGGGGCCGAGGGCGGGGCCAAGGCAGCCCCTCCCCAAAACTCCACCCCTCCCACCCAACCCCACCCCCAGCCATGAACCGCCCCTCCCCCCTGGGCTGGGAGCACCTCCTCCCCCTTAATTACCAATGAAATTAATTAATAATCCAAGGGGGTTGTGCTTGCCCCTCCCCAAGTCCCCCAGGATACCCCAAGAGGCACCCAAGTCCCTCCACCTGCCTGAGGTCCTCCCCAACTTTGTGAAACACCTTGTGTGAACCCCCTTGTGTGTGACCCCCTTTGATGCGTGACCCCCTTTTGAGTGTGACCCTCCCCTTGATCCCCTCGTTGCTCTCCCCTGCTTTGTGACCCCCTTGCTGACCCCCACTTTCTGTGCCCCCCTTGTGCCTCCCCCACTTGGTGACACCCCGCCTTGTGTCCCGCCCTTGACTCCCCCTCATTTGTGCCACCCTCGCCCCCTGCCGGTGCCACCCTCGTGTCCCCCCTTGGTGACTCCCCTTCCGTGCCCACCCCTTGTGTGCGTGTCCCCCTTGTCCCCCTCTTTTCTGTTCCCCCGGTGCCACCCCTTGTCCCCCTCGTGTCCCCCCGTGTCCCCTCGGCTCAGCCTCCGGCTCAGCCCCGGCTCCGTTTCCACGGCAACGGGTCACAAATAACTCGGGCTCTGATTGGGGTTCGGCTGCCGCACGGGAGGGTCCCCTGCCCCCAGACCCCCCGACATCCCAAGACCCCCAGGTACTCCCAAAGCCCCGGAGCCCCTCTGATCCCCCAGCTCTGCCCCAAACTCCAGAATCATCCCCTGACACCCCCCAGTGTCGTCACCCCCAGGGTTCCTATAGCCCTGACCACTCCCTCCCTCTGGGGACCCCTAAAGCCCCCTAGAGCCCCCCAGGTGTCCCCAGCCCTACAGCTTCCCCCCAAGGACCCCCTGAAGCCCTTCTGGGACTCCTGAAGCCCCCATAGCCCCCAACCCCACCACGTGCCCCCAACCCCACCAACGTAGCCCCCCAACAATGGTCCCCCAGGGGTCCCCAGCCTCTGTAGCCCCCAGAGACCCCTTTAGTCCCCCCGGGGGTCTCACAGCCCCTACAGTCCCTCAGGGACCCCTTTAGCTCCCCCCAAGGGTCTCAGAGCCCCTATAATTCTGTACAGCCCCCAGGGGTCTCACAGCCCCAATAGCCCCCCAGGGTCCCCTATAGACCCCCCAGGATCCCCTCTATTCCCCCCGGGGGTCCCACAGCCCCTACAGCCCCCCTAGAGCTCCCCCCTCCCAGGCACGAGAACATGGGGGGGAATCAAAATCCTTTATTGTTTTGTTCCAAAATCCAGGGAAATGCCATAAAATCACGGGGGAGGGGAGCAGAGGGGATCATAATAAGATTTAGGGGGTCATATAGGATTGGGGGGGTCACACAGGGTCTGGGGGCCCTCAGAGAGCCCAGGGAAAGCACAACGTGATTTGAGCTGGGGTGGGGGGCAGCGCCTGGGGGGGTTCAAGGGGGTCCCATGTTTTTGAGGGGGCCCTCCCCCTCCCAAGGGACTCTACGGGGACCCCGGGGGCTGGGCGAGCACCCAGGGGTGTGGGGAGGGCACCCAGAACCCCCTTGGAGGGGTCACCCAGTGACCCAAGACCCCCAGGAGGCAGTCCCAGGTATTGAGGGGGGGGGGTTAAGGTGCCCACCCCCCCCAAGGGACCCAAAGGGGACCCCCAGGGTCTAGGGGGGCACCCAGGACCCCCTGGGGGAGCACCCATGGGGTCCCAGGGGGACCTCAGGTGTCTGGGGCCCCCCCAGGGGGGTCCTGGGGGGAGGTTGGTCACAGGGATCAGGGGGGTCCTGGGGATTTGGGGGGGTCCCCAGGGGTCTGAGGGGGGCTTAAGGGGGTCCCAGACATCCTGGGGGGTCCCGAAGGGATCTCAGAGGGTTTCCTGGGGGTCCAGGGTGTCTCACGCATCCGGGGGGGTTGGAGAGGGTTCAGGGGGGGTCACTGCTCGTTGGGGTTGGGGTTGGCGTCGGGGTACTTGGTGAGGTCAAAGGTCAACACTTTGCTGATGACGCAGTCGCCTTGCTGGGGGGGCAGAAATGGGGGGGGAGAGAAATTAAGGGAAGAAATTGGGGAGAGAAAGTGAGGGGGGGGACACAGAAAGTGGGGGGTTAAATCCTGGCCCCCTGCCCCCCTGGGGGGATTTATGGCCCTCCTGTTTCACCACCCATACATTTTCTTCTCCCCCCAACCCATAATAGCCCAGTATTTACCCCCCCATTTTGGGGGGTTTATGACCCCCCTAGGGGGCTTTGAGGCCCCCCAGTTGTATTTATGACTCCCCCAGAGGAATTTACCCTCCCATTTAGGGGGATTTATAGCCCGCTCACATGTATTTACCCTCTCAGAAGCATTTACCCCTCCCCAGGGTATTTATGGCCCCCCTTGGGATATTTACCCCCATTCTAGAGAATTTATGACCCCCCCAAAGATATTTTGGTGCATATTTGCCCTGGGTAGGGGTGTATTTTGGGGGTACCTCAGGGTATTTGGAGGAGTATTTTGGGGTACTCACCCTCTGGGGTGTTTGGGGAGGTTTTTGGAGGAACCTTGGGGTATATGGGGGGAGTATTTTAGGGGAAGTGGGCAGATCACAGGGTATTTTGGGGGTACTTGCATTTATTTTGGGTACCTTGGAATATCTGGGGGGGTGGGGTACTTTGGAGAGATTTAGGGTTTTTTTGAAGGCATTTTAAGAGGGTATTTTGGGAGTACATGAGGGTGTCTTGGGGGGGATTAGGGGTATTTGGGGGCATTTTGGGGTCACTGGGGGGTTCAAAGGGGGTCGGGGGTTATTGGGGGTTTGGAGTTCTCAGGGAGGGTTGGAGGTTGTTGGGGGAGTTTGGGGCTTTTGAGGGGTTCGGGGGTTATTTGTGGGTCAGGGGTTATTGGGGGTTTGGGGTTATTGGGGGTCGGGGTCATTGGGAGTTTGGAGGTTATTGGTGGGGTTTGGGGGTTACTTGGGGGTCAGGGGTTATTTTGGGGATCAGAGGTTATTGAGAGGATCAGAGGTTATTGGGGAGTCAGGGATTATTTTGGGGGTTGGGGGTTATTGGGGTTTTGGGGTTATTTGGGGGGGTCAGGGGTCATTGGAGGGGTTTGGGGTTATTGGGGTGATCAGAGGTTACTGAGAGGGTCGGGGTTATTGGGGGGTTGGGGGTTATTTGGGTGGTTTTGGGGTTATTTGGAGGGTTTGGGGGTCCCGAACTCCCCTCCCGAGGGAGGGGCGTGGCCAGAGCCGGGAGGGGCGTGGCCAGAGCGGGCGGCGGGAGCGCGTCCCTCCCGCTCTCCTGAGGGGAAAAAAAAACGCCTTCGGGACGTGAAAAAAGCACTTTTGTGAGGTAAAAACCAGTTCTGTGAGGGGAAATCTGCCTTTCCTGAGATAAAAATCCACTTTACTGAGGCAAAACCTTTCCCCCTGAGGTAAAACACCTCTTTCCTGAAGTAAAAACCATCTTTCTGAGGTGAAAAATATTATTTCCTAAGGTAAACCCATCCTCTGAGAAGTAAAATTTGCCTTTCCTCAGAGAAAAATCCACTTCTCTGAGATAAAACCTTCTCCCCTAACGTAAAACACCCCTTTTTAGAGGTAAGAATCCCCTTCCTGAGATGAAAAGTGCGGTTTAAGAGGTAAAATCCTCTTCTGTGATGCAAAATTTACTACTGCTGAGGGAAAAATCCACTTTTCTGAAGTCAAACCTTTCTCCCTGAGGGTAAAACACCCCTTTTTTAAGGTAAACCCCTCATCTGTGAGGTAAATTTCACCTTTCCTGTTTTCTGAGGTAAAACCTGTTTCTGGAGGTAAAATCCCCTTTTCTGAGGTGAAAAATGTTCTTTCGTGAGTTAAAACCCTCCTCTGAGGTACAATTTCTTTTTCCTGAGGTAAAAACCCTTTTTTCTGAGGTAAAAGTTTGCCCCCGAGGTAAAACACCCCTTTCCTAAGGTAAAAATCTCCCTTCCTAAGGCTAAAAAGTGTTCTTTCCTGAGCTCAAATCCTCCTCAGTGAGGTAAATTTACCTTTTCTTACATAAAAAGCACTTTTCTGAGGTTAAATCCCCCTCTCCAAGATGTCAAATGCTCTCTCCTGAGATAAACCCCTCTCTCGTGAGGTAAAATTTACCTTTTTGGGTGTATTTGGGGGTGTATTTTGTGGTACCTCAGGCTATTTGGGTGAGGGGGGTGTTTGGGGACGTTTTGGGGGTGTATTTTGGGGAGGGTTGGGCAGATCTCAGGGTATTTGGGGGATGTTTGGGTTTATTTTGGGGGCATTTTCTGGGTACCTTGGGGTATTGGGAGTGGGGTTGGGGTATTTTTGGGGTACCTTGGGGTCTTTGAGAGCAGGGGGGGGGTGTGT